CAACACTCATTCGACCATGAAAGGGAGCCAGTATTTAAACGAGGCTTAATTTTCTAATTTTTAACGATACAATAGCGACGATTATTATTTTAAAAAATTTTTGTTAGGCTTAACATCGATGAAAATTCAACGCAAAATAGGTTAATAGCGATATACTAATATACTAATTACATGGGATATAATAATATACTACACAAATAATGGATTTTTTCATACTTTTCGGTTATCCGACTTTTCAATTATCCGACCAACCCTAGTCCCCAATTGGGTCGGATAATCGAGGCTCTACTGTATTACTAATATTTTTTTTTTTTTTGCTTTTGTTTCTTTTTATTGATTTTATCAATATTTTTAGTATTAAATGTTACTTTTATTGTACAGAAAAAATTCTTTGTCTATAACTATGAAATAAACATAAAAAATGAAAACTTAAATGCTTATAATTATCATTTCATGCATGTAAATTTTTCTTCTAAATAGTATCATTATTTTTTAAATTTACAGACAAAAATTTACAGTATCATTATTATTATTACAGTTTATAACAGGAGAACATTGGAATGCAGACCATCTACCAACTCCCAACAACAAGTGGCTCTGAATTTAGAATAGAAGAGTGATCCACTCCAAGCCAGATATGCCTTTTGAACATGAGAGAATTAATACATTTCTGGACAAGTAGATCATTGACAACCATCATCACAATCTGCTCTCTAGCCTGTAGAAGTGAAGCCAGAAAAACAAAAAATATTTCTATTGGCATCTCACAGAATATCAAGTGGCAAATTATCTACCATCAATATGATGTTTTATTCTACATAGTGATTCAAGCAGCCTGTCACCATGGCACCATTAGCAATGTTTAACAGAATAAATAAGTACAGTTGAGCATCGATTATCTGACTCAATTGGGGACTGGGGTTGGTTGGATAACTGAAAAAACGGATAACCGAAAAATATGAAAAAATACATTATTAGTATAATATATTAGTATATCTCATGTAATTAGTATATTAGTATATTGCTATTAACCTACTTCGCATTGAATTTTCATCGATGTTAAGCCTAACAAAAATTTTTTTTAAATAATAATCATCGCTATCGTATCGTTAAAAATTAGAAAATTGAAGCCTTGTTTAAATACTGGCTTTCTTTCATGGTCGAGCCATGTTGCCAGCTAAAACACATAAAAATACTATTAAAGTAGCCAAAACATAGCCAAATATTGTAGCACCACATCACTAGCGGACATTTGAATTTGCCGACTAGAACGGTCGGTTATCTGATGTGACCTGGTTAATCGGGGGTCGGATAATCGATGCTCTACTGTATATACAAAGTTCTTAGAAACCACACTCTACAAACTCAATGTAATTAAATTAATTAATTATAGTCAGGGAGCATCCTTTCCATTCCAACAGGACAAATGGAAGATCACTGATATCGGCAGAACTTCTGGAAGACTATTTTGGCTGCATCTACCCTAAAAGTTGTTCCTCATCCCTCACTTCACACCACAGGATAGAGTCTTGGAACCAAAATGTAAACTTCATAAAGATTGATTGGATCATGCTATCCATGATACTCAGAACAGTATGCCAAAAACAAGCAAAATCCCTTCTTGGCATACATATTAATCCAAGAATTTGTTCTTAAAGGTAGGGGATGAGTTGTTTAGTAAACACAACCATAAAGACTATCAGAACTCAAATATACATTGAACTATTCCTAAAGGAGGAATGAGTCAGGGTCAATTAGAAAACTCATTCTAACCCTACTCAAGGTCAAATAATTGCCAGTTAATCCAGAGCAACAATAGACAATATACAAGGATCGTTCAAAAAGTAATGCACCATAATTGGAAACCATTTCATGGTCTTTGGGAAACAGATCATGACATGGCTCCACTTTTGAGGCATTATATCTGGAAACTTTGCTAACATTGTGGAAATTTTCAAGTCCCACTGCCAAGCAGAACCACTGCAACTTCACTGAAAAATGGCAAATGTCAGCAATGTGCAATAATAGAATTCCTCATTGCTAAAGAGAAAATGATTGAAATATTCACAAGCAATTGTGTGATGTCTATGGTACTGCAGCTGTCAACCAAAGCACTGTCAGTCATTGGGAGAAACATATGAAGTCAATGACAATAGGAATGGCAGATCTCTGCAATTTGGCATAAACAGATATCCCACTACAGTTGTCACAGCAGCCACAATGAAACAATTCAGGAGAAATGATGTGTTATAGTCAACAGCTGGAAAAATTCTTGTGCATTAGTGCCGGGAGTGTTCACCAAATCATCCATGAACTTGGGTATGCCAAAATATATTCTTGATGTGACCTGGAGTAGTTCATGATTGACCAAAAATCAGCAAGGAAAACCATTGCATCAGAAGCCATGCAATGCTATGAATCTGACAGCAACAAGTTCTTGGCTTGCATCATCACTGGATATGAAATGTGGGTTTACCACTTTAAACTTAAAACAAAGCAGCAATCACTGGAATGTCACCATCCTCATTCACCATGGAATGAAAGGAAAAAAAAAAAACAAATTTGTTCCATCAGCAGGAGAGGTTATGATCAGTGTGTTTTGAGACATTCATGGTGTCATTTTGATGAATGTTAAGCATATAGGATCCACCATTTGCTCAGAGGCTTATGTCAGTATGCTGAAAAGGCTCAAGAAGTGTTATCAACTTGTCAGACATGAGAAGGACTTGTACAACTTGCTCCTTCAGCATGACAACATGAGACCACACCCAATCATGAAGGAAATCATGAAACTGGGTTATACAGTATTGCCGCATCCACCTTACCTTTTTACCTTTTTGGACCTTTGAAAAATGCACTTTGTGGGATAAAATTCCAGACAGATGAAGATGTTGTCAGTGCTGTGAGAAAGTGAAAGATGCACAGGATTAGGATTGGTACCGAGCCAGAATACATGCCCTCCCTCAGTGCTGGTATATGGCCAAAACAAGGACAGAGACTTTGTTAAAAAAAAAAAAAACATGAATAGCTGAAAGTAGCAGATAGGAGATGTCCAAATTTCACAACTGTATGCAACATACTAGCAGCAAAATAAATTCTGGTGCATTAATTTTTGAATGAACCTTGTATCAGGTAAGTTACCATACTAATGAGTGAGGCAGAGATTAGAAATTTCTGACACTCCTAGGGAATTAATTATAAGGTTCCAATTTCCAAACTCTTTCACCCTCATTTAGAAAGCTTGATCCAGTGAGGGCAAACAGGAGTAAAGGTATATATCTCTAAGTTTCTGTTACTGGTTAAACATTAAAGAATTAAAAGCTATTGGCTTTATTCAGTAACACATCATACAAAAAGCAGTTGTTGATGTAGTTTTTATTGAAGCAGAAGTCTAAGGACTGAAGACCCAAAAGTACATATCTCTGTTTATGAGTTGAAGAAATGAGGAAAGAAGCTGAGAATAGGATTTCTTCAATACATTTGTTTTCAAGTAGGGATTTGTTCATATGGTTGCATAAGATACTTATAGATATATATTAGTGCTGAACATCTAGTACCTGATTTTGTATCCAGTACCTCTTTAAACAACAGCATACAATATGAAANTAACATTAGGGTATTTTAAATCTGATACATAATATTAGGTTTAATTTTGTAATCTTGTCAAAGTTATTAATTGGAATGTTCACATGAGAGGCAGCAATTATAGAATGCAATGTAGAATAGTGCAAACATACTTTGTCTTTGCAACAGTCACAGAGAAACAGTTTTGTAAGTCAAAACTTTGTTTTGGCTTACAAAATTAGTCAATAGAAGATATTAGAACAACAAATAGTATTCATTATTGACCTTAATTCTGCAAGCCAAAGCATACAGTTTACTTTCTCTTGGACTGTCATTATTTTGGATCACTAATGGGGTCTGTAAATAAAATTAGTTCCACATTGAAAAAATTATCATGTGAAAAATTTGAAAAGTTAGGCTATCAAATATTATTTATGTTACAGTTTTAACACTTGTATATTACTAGTTATTGAAATGTAAAACTGCACACAGACTTTTTGATAATCTTGTATCAAGAAAAGTGAAAGTTAACACATTAAAGCTTCCTTATATTTATAATGTTATGGTTTTATGAAAGATTACAGCAGAATGTTTTATGATATGAAATACTTATATGCAAACTTATTATTATTAGCAAATAAGATGTAAAAATATTAATGCTCAACTTTTCATATCATCAAATATAGCCATATTGATAAATGATAAATTCTTTCTACATCTTACTGGTATAATATATTCTTGTCTACCTCAGTTATCTTCTTTGTGTCAGGCAATAAATTAATATCATTTCATAAACTATAAAAAGTATGCTATAGCATACATATGCCACAAATACCTTCATTTCAATGACATAGTCATTTAAATTAATGTATCATCATCACTAGTTAATTTTTTTAAAGTCAATTATTTTGCAATTTAAAATTTTAGAATTTCTCTTAGATGTAAAAAAATGTATTTTCAGTTCTTCAAAGCAGAGACAAATTAATATTATATTTCGCTAAACAGTTTGATTATATTGTATATTTTTATAATGTCTAAAATATATAAATAAACAAGTAATCATCTATTTATACATAAAAAAACTCACCTTATAAAATGATCTCTACCTCCAACTGCAAACTCATAAGGATTGTTTGGATTTACAAAAATAGTATATAAAGGTATAATCTGATCATCTCTACATGTAACAATTCTAGAAAAACAAAAAATATTCAATTTACATAGATATTTCTATAATTTATAAAGTATTCTTAATTAATAAAAATGATCCCTTAAAATTAATTTCATATTGAGAAAATTTTATTTTCATCATTTTAATAACAAACCTAATTAATAATTAACTTCTTACTTAAGAATAGAACATATTCGCTCTTATATTAAACTTAAATACTAAATCAAAAATAAACCAAACTTTTGATATTGTTTAACAGCAGCTATAATCACAAGCACATGAACATTTGAACATTTTCTTAGACATGCCAATATTTGTTGGATACAGAGTAGATGCATACATATGAATGGATTAGAACACAAAACATCAAAGTATGAATATGAAGATGTGCCATTGAAATTTCTGAAAGGATGTATCAAGAGCAGAAAAATCAACATTAAATTACTTGATTGCTAACTGTTCTATCAATTTGTTGTATTTCCTTTGGAATTAGCACAAGGTTGCTGTTGAAAACAAATCACACAGGAACTCTTTCTGAGTGGAAAACATAGATTTATTTTTAGTAGATTTATTTAAAAGGATATTTATCCTTTTAAATAAAATAAATAATAAATAAATAAATCCTTTTAAATTATAGAAAATAGATCTACTTTTTCCATTCAGAAAGAGTTCCTGTGTGATTTTTTCCAACAGCAACCTTATGCTAATTCCAAAGGAAATACAACATGAAATTCTGTGTCAAACTTGATAAAACTCTACTTAAATATTTAATTTGCTTAATGAAACAAATAACAATGACAACATGTTGCCCACAAAAGTGGACAAATGACATAAGCATTAATTAATAATTTATATATATTATATATTAAAGTAGTGAATCAATAAAGGATAATCCCATCCTGGTATGTCAGCTTTGAGAAGAAATGACTTCCCAAGTTCACAAAGAGAGTCATTAGACTGTAGACAATCATTAAACAAGCTGGTTAACATTTAAAGAATTTTGCATGACTCCATACACACCATTCCTCATAATAACCTGAAAATGCATTATGTTTGTTTATGACTATTAACATATGAGAACATGCACCCTAATTACAGGAAAACTGATAGACACAGTTGATTAAAGTATTCTGAACGGTTATAAAAATCTGATGTTTTTTTGTATGATCTGATGAGCAAACATGCCTCATCAATATGAAACAATTACCTCAAAGAGTTAACATAAATAAAATCTCAACATTAATAAATCAATTTAAAAAAAAATTTAAATCATCTCTACAAAAGCACTTTTTAAAATATTCAATGACAAATATTTTAAAGTATATTTTAAAGTTAATCAGCTGATTTTAATCATTGACTAAATCTTAAAATAATTTCATTATTTTTCAAATCATAAACAAACAAAAAGTGTATCCATGAGTAGTACATGTCATAACACTGAAGTCAGACTTGATGACTCTGTGAGCTAACCATGCTTGTTATTACCTTGCTATGTGTGATGAGAAACACCTCTTGAACATACAGTCACTATGGACTCAAGAATTTTGAAATTCTAAGTAAATAAATAAAAATTCTATGTACATTTCTCACTTTATATAATCAAAATAAAATAATTTGATCCTAGATAAATGTCAAATATTTTTTGGGACTCAATTGTAATGTTTTGAAGTCTTCCCTCAAATAACATTTTGTTTACAAGAATTTTTTTTGTTACAAACCCTGTGGACTACCAGCTATTAAAAGTTTGTAAACATAAACCTTTACAGGCATAGATGATTTGCAATATTTTTACATAAATTACATGTATGTTGTCTTAATTTTCAGTAGTTTTTCTTCTTTATGCAACTTTCCACTACAAACAATCTCCGTTCTTTAGTGTATGTCATTTCCAATCATGGCACACATTTTAAATAACAATAATCTTACACTAGTCTTAGGAGTCAGTGCTGCACAATGAATCATTAAGCAATCAGTCACTGATTTGTGACGTTGTCAAGTTCATTCCTTGAAAATAAATTTTCATTTGATCAGCCAATAAAATTCTCTACAGTTACTTGTTAAAATATTATTTCAGATAATAAATATTTTCAACAAATTCACAATTAAAAAACAACTCTAGAAAATAAATTAGTTACTTTTCTGGTTTATTTCCTCTCAAATCAACTTCATGTACTACTCCATCTTCTCCACAAGTTAGAAATGTATGAGGAGTATCAAGTATAAGAGCAAGCTACAAAATAAAATACTTTACTAAAATTCGATATCATAAATATATATAATTTTTCAGCTTAAAATTATTATTAAATAATGACATTGCCTGCCTGATGAATAATTAGCATAATATGGTAAAATATAATACTGTATTATATTAATTCTACATATAATTTAGGCAGATAATAAAATTATAATTAATTATTTTGTCAATATATTTGCACTAGTTGATGACTATAGAGATAACAATTATACTTTAATGATTTGTCCATGTGTCGTCATCATAAAATAGCTTGGAATTATAATTGCTGTTAATAAACATTAAAATAAATGAAAAGCACCTTCATCTTTTGTCAAATTTTATTAATATGTTTATAATTGTACCATTGCCAGAGGAAAGTTTTTAGAGTTTTGCATATTGAGGCAGATTAATTTTATAAACTTTGAATCTGAACAAAACATTATTAATAGGAAATGTTCTTGTAAAACAATTGTTATTAAAAAAGTTTCCATTATATATTTGAAAATTATACAAAACAAACTTTTCTTTCTTCTAAACATTTAGTATATATGAAATATTTAATTTTTTTGATTCTGAAAGCATTATAAAGTTTATTCCTACAAAAATATTTATAAATTTCAAATCAGATACATTTATAAAAAATCATTAAAACTTCTGAAATATGTATTAGCTTTTTCCTAAATCTAACAATTTTAATCAAATATTTTTCTACCAAATTTTATAGCTCAAAAGCCAGAGTAAGTAAATTTGAACATAGACGAAATCTGAAAATTTGTACAAAATTGAAAATATTGTTTAATAAAATATTTTCAATTTTATTTAACACTGAAAAACCTCAGCCTTTTTTTCTTCTTCTTCTTCTTTTTTCTTTTTGCATTAAAAATTTGTGGTGTAAAACCTTCCTAATCATTTAAATTTTATAGCTTTTTTTTTGTTAGTTCTTACATTTTAAATATTTTTGTATTGAATATTCCCTACAAAGATAAACAGCAATATATAATTACAAACAAATTAACCAACAGTTTAAAATCAATATTTTTAATAAAAAAATAATTTTGAGAATCTTAATCTAGTCCAAACCATCTGTACTTTCTGATAATTTTCTTTTATCAGAAAAAATAGTTCATATAGAAAAAGAGTGCCAAAGGATATTAAGATCAATTTATTAGAATACATTAAAATTATAATTTAAATTCAATTGAATATTCTGAAGTACAAATAAATATTCTACAAAATTAATGTAATGATTATCATTACCTTCTTCTTAATACTGAAACAAATCACAAACACACTTTAAACAAGCTTTAAATTCCAGTAATGAAAAGTTCTTATAAAAAAATTTTTGTTTGCACATTCCAATTTGGAATTTCGTTAATTTAAAGACCTGGGGCAGATCTTTCCAAGGTCAAAAATGTTTGTCAAAAGTTTTTTTATTAAAAAGATTTTTGTTACTGAACTTTAAAGTGTGTTTGTAATTGTTACCTTAATGTAATTTTGTAATACATTAGACTACTTTTTATATTTACTTTTCTAACACTCTTTAATTACTTTTCAGTTTATTTCTTCTTCCAAATATACGTTTTACATTGTTTAATTCATTTAAATATTATTTTTAAACTTAAAATTTAGCATAAACATGCTGATTTTAAGCTTATAGAGCTTATGTATAAGAAAGTTCAGAACTGTATCTTTACAATTTATTCAAATTTATATGAAATACACAAACTTGCCTTATGTACTGCTCCTTGATGTTGAGCTAATTTTCTAGTACCTTTACAAACACCTGTGCTTGAAAGTTCTGCTAACCGCACCTGACCATCTCTTGCACAGCTCACTAGATGACAATCTCCACTTAAAGGCATAAATTTTGCCTGTAAAAAAATTTTATATCATTTTCTTTTAATAATCAATCAATCAAACAAAAAAATTTACTTGGCTAAAACTGATTAGAAATATATTTATTTAACAAATTTCTCATTACAAACAGGCATCTGTAGTCCTAGATTTTTTTATCATTAATAAATTTATTAGCCTAAAATTAAATAATCAGAAACAAAGTTAAATCCAATCATCTCAACAAAAATTGTTAATTAATAATACATAAATATTATTTTTTCATTCAGTTTTTGACAGAGATTATTATTAAAGAATTTAAACAATTTAAAAATTCTGTGCATATTAATTGTAAATAAATACTCCTGTGATATATGAATGTACAGTAGAGCCTTGATTATCCGACCCCCGATTAACCGACACCTCAGTTAACCGACCATCCTAGTCGGCAAATTTTAAATGTCCGCTAGTGATGT